AATTTATATACCTAAAAACATTCAAAACTAATTACTAATTCATTAAACTTTAATTTTAAACTGTGAGCACATTAAAAAATAGTTACTAAAGCAGATTTTAAGATATACGATAAGTGTCAACAATATATACGATAAGTGTGAAACACTTACGATAAGTATGAAAAACTGCGCTTCAAAAGTTATTTTTAGTTAATCAAAATAAGTACATTATTGATTTAAATTTCAGAGTGAGAATAATTTTAAACTAACCCTTATAGTCCTCTCTATGTCACTGCCCAGCAGGCATTTTGTCTTGAAAAGACATTTTAAACATTCAAAAGTCTTTTTATGCTGGGTGGGTATTATGAGTGCCGCTGCAATTTTATAATTATTGAACATTAAAGTTCTTTTTAATTTTTCAAATTTTTTTAGTTTAAAATTTAAATTGCAAAATTATTTGAATAAAAGATTTTTAGTAGATTTAAAAACATTTAAACTAAATATGATTTTAAAAGTTATAATTTCAAATTTAATTTTGAAGGGAAATGTAAAATGGTTCGTAAAATACAGAATGTATGATTTAGTTTCAAGGATAAAATAGTTTTGCAATATTTATTAAGGAAGAAATTTTTTTTATATTGTCTGCTAACCAATTCATTAAATAAAACTTATGTCTCATAGATTAAAATGCAAATATAACTTTTTTATATGTAAGTTTTTAAATATATAAAAAAAAATTGTTATAAACGAACAAAAGATTAGGTTAAGTGTAAGATTGTTTTTAAAAAATAAATTACAAAGAAATATAATCTTTTTCAAATACCTAATATTTAGATTTCATCAGTTATTTTTGTTATATTTGTTTAAATGATTTTTGACGTGGTTTAAAATCTAATTTAATTACAATGCCGCACTTTATATATGCTAATGATGCATTTAACTTTTTATGAATAAATATCAAAGCTAAGTTAAAGTTACATTTGTTAGCGTTAAGCGTTTTAATAGCAACAAATATTATAACAAGACCTAACACTAAACTTTTGTTAGATCTCAAATCTGCTAGTAAGGTTGGATTTTATTTTAGCAACAAAATATTATGACAATTGATACTAAATTTTTATTATCTCAGATCTGCTAGTAAGGTTGGATTTTATTTTAACAACAAAATGTTATAACAATTGATACTAAACTTTTATTATCTCTGATCTGCTAGTAAGGTTGGATTTTATTTAGAAATTTCTGCTTTTAATTTTACACACCAGTTTTCAATGGGGTTTAAATCCAACCCCATTTTTTTTTGCCATTTGAAATAAGCATAATAATTAAAAAATATCTCTAGATGTTGCAAAGAAACCATTAAAAGTATATGAATAAAATTTGTTTTAAAAAAAAAGTATTATAAAATATTTTTTTAATGGTAATGGAAGTTAAATTTAGCAAAAAATAGATTCCAGGTTATAATTGTCACATTACCATCATCTTAATTAGAAACCACCTATTCCATTAAGAACCTATTCCATTAGGAAGTAACTATTCCAATTAAGAACCACCTATTCCATTGAAAATCTATTTCATTAAAAACCACTTATTCTATTAGGAACCTATTCCAATACTAACTTTGCTTAATTCAAGTGACTTTTAAAGGGATCCATAATTTAAATAAGTTTATTGCAGTTAATCTTTAAAAACTACATAAATAGGTGAAAATAAAAGTTTGTAATAGTTGTTTAATTTAAAGTAAAAAATATATGGTCTTTTGAATTATATGAATTGAAGTATGATAAGTTAGTATGATAAAATACAAATACAAATTGATAATAAATGAGATTTTTAAATGTGTTTCTTAAATTAGAAAAATTACCAAGGATATTTTATAGCAATGGATAGAGTCTTGCAGCAATAGATATGGTTTTGGAGACAACCAGTCAAAGGTACCAGAGCATGTTTTAGATTGTTCAGTAACATCCAAACTGGGTATTTTTCTTTAATAGTATTTTTCTGTTTTTTTTTTTTTTTTTTTTACATCTTCGCTTCCAACAAGGCTGCAAGCAACCACTAATTAGTGTTGGAAGTTACTGGAAGAGAAAAGATGAAGATTGTAGAGCAAGATAACAATTGACAGACGACTTAAAATATTGCAAATTATATGAATCAGGAAAGCAAGATGAAGGAAGTGAATTCCAAAGAACTGATATTCGAGGAAAAAAACTAGGCAAATAAGAGTTTTTTTAAGAGTATAGGGCCAAAGATTGAACCTTGAGGAACCCCTGAGGTTACAGAATAAGAAGAAGAGTGCTGTCCATTGAGGACAACTTTTATACTACGATTCGAAAGGAAGGATTTGATAATCTTAAAGATATTTCCAGATACACCGTAAGAAGAAAGCTTATGGAGAAGACCAGCATGCCAAACTTTATCAAACGCCTTAGAAATGTCAAGAGAGATGGCCTTAACCTCACCACCTTTATCTAATGCGCGATAAAACCTATCGGTTATTACTGTTAGCAAATCAGCCGTAGAATGAGAAGATTGCAATCCATATTGATGATCAGAAAGTAGGTTATGAGATTCAAGATAAGAGATTAAGTGTTTGTTAATTAAAGATTCAAAAACCTTGCTTATGATAGGAAGAAGACTAATGGGGCGGTAGTTAGATGGATCGCTCTCCAGAAGTTTTAAAAATAGGGATAACAGATGCTGCTTTCCAGCAGGCTGGAAAACAAGACTCTGATAAGCACTTATTAAAATAGTTTTGAAAGGATAGACGACAGCTCCGGAGAACACTTCTGCAAGACTATAACAGGTATGTTGTCCGGGCTGCAAGCTGTAGAAGAGTCTAAGCAGGAAAGCACTTTAGGTACAGAAGCTGGAATGATACAGATGTCGAGCAGTGAATCAACCTGTATGACGGCTATATCAGGTAGAACGCAACTAGTGGAATCCAGAGATGATATTGATGAAAAGTTCATGATCTGAGAATAGCGGGCTTTGGCGTTAGACAAAACCTTTTTACAATGGTTCCTAGCAGTAATAAACAGACGTCTATTTTCTGGAGAATTGTTTTGCTGATAGATATGGAAGTAATGGTTTCGATTAGCAATTGCAGCAGCACAATGTGAGGAAAACCATCATGTTGCATCTAGATATCCGGTTCTTTTTAATCTCATTAACATATATGCAACAGCATGAGTATTTTAGGTCTTAGGCATTTGGTTTTGGTTTATCTCGTTGTAAATATTTAAATTTGATTTAATTGATGCTTTGCATTCTAAGAATTCTTTTACTATATTTTGGAATCAACAATTTTAAAAATGTAGTTCAATAAATGGCAAAATTTGATGATCACACCAGCAAACATATTGCATATAATTGTCAGATTTTTAATATCTTTTCTAGAAAAATGCAAGGATACACTGGAAAATAAAGAAGAGCAATAATGAAAATACCTGCTTCAAAAGGTTCAAAAATGCTATGTTTTATGTTATGTTTTCACCAGTGGCTTACATCCGAGAATGGTTTAGAAGAAATAGACATGGCAGTACTCCATGATTTGCTTAGCAGATGGATTTGAAAATCCACCAGCTTAGTTGTTTTATTTAGGACCCTATGGTCCGTTATTAAACCCAATGAAAATAATTTAAAATTAAAATAAAGAAGAGCAATAATAAAAATAGTACACAAAGTATATTAGGAAGCCGTTTTTAAACTTTTCTTTTTTCTTTTTGTTGTTTGTTGTTATGACGACAGAGCACACTTTACTGTAACTTTATATTTTAACTGTTTTTTGGTTTCTTGATTTTGTATTACATGACTGATAATTGCTTTTTGGCATGAAAATATTAGTGCCATAAAAAGTTGTATTTTCTTTGTTTATAAATTTATATAACTAAATTTATATATATACATATCAATATATATATATATACATATATATATATATATATATATATATATATATATATATATATATATATATATATATATATATATATATATATATATATATATATATATATATATATATATATATATATATATATATATATATATATATATATATATATGTACATATATAATATATATATATATATAATATATATATATATATATATATATATATATATATATATATATATATATATATATATATATATATATATATATATATATATATATATATATATATATATATATATATATGTAAAAAAGTTATTTGCATAATAAACTGCAATTCTTTTTAAAAGGCACAGTTGTTACAAAAAAAAAAAAAATTAAAAAAGTGCACTAATTTAAATGCAAGTATTGATTATATTGGACTTTTTGGTAAGTATAAAATTAATATACTCTAAATTAGATTGATAAAGTATGAAAATATATAACTGATAATAAATTAAATATTACACTCTAAATTATTGCATGATAATTTTTATTTTGTGTATGAATTATTTATTTTATATATTAATTACTTATATTAACTCACTTTTATTTTGGAGTTTTTAATTGTTGTAATAATTTTTAAAAAGCATTCTATTTCAATAAGAAAATATAAAATATTTATAAGCATTAAAAACCCAAAATAACACTTGTCTAAAGAATTTTTTCACAATGCAATAAGTGACTCTTGTTATGTATATATATATATATATATATATATATATATATATATATATATATATATATATATATATATATATATATATATATATGTATATATATATATATATATATATATATATATATATATATATATATATATATTAATATATTAATATATTATATAATAATATATAATAGATTATATATTAATATATATATCAGGGGCTATTCTAAACTGTTTTTGATAGCGTCGACCGTATTTGGGCACCATCCAAATAAAAATTTGATGACCTTTTTTTTTTTTTTTTTTTACATTTCTTTTTACAGCAAATTTTTATATTACATATAAACATTTTGTAAGCTTTTGAGATATAATTTTTTCAAATTATTTATTTTCATTTAGTTTTATTATATTTGTTTAATAGGTACTTGGCAACAACCCATTTTGAAGCAACTCAAGCCAGAGCTGCTTTTCCTTGCTTTGATGAACCTGCATTAAAAGCTTTATTTGAAATTATAATGGTTAGAGAGCCGCAGCATACAGCTCTTTCAAATATGCCTATTGTGAAAACGGTATTTTTAACAATTCAGATTTTAAAATAAAATTTTATTTTTATATTAGCACAATCTAAAGATGTTTAAAATATTAATTTTTTATGTAAAGGCATTTATAGTTTTCTTTTTTTCTTTTTATCTGTCTGGTTTTTGATTTTTCTTTTCTAACGATTTCTATTTTAACTTTATTTCCTCCTTATTTAATATTAGTAATATATTTACGAAAAAAAAAACACTGAAACTTTTTAGTCCCTGTTTAATAAGGTTAATAGTACAATAGATTAAAAAGGACGTAATCCACTGTTATTCAAGTAACAATCTTTAAGTGATCATTCAGATACGTTCAAGAAACATCATGAATGGTTCAAATGTTTTGCTAAATCATTCAAACTCTTAAGTGATGAAAATAAAAATTTGATAAAATAAAATCAAAAAACTTGAACAAAAAATTAAATCTGGAACACGAAATCCACTGAAAAAATCTTTCAGTGAAATAGTATCAGTTGAAGTTAAAAGCAATGATACCATTGTAACCATTTGCTTTGTTTTTGCACAATAACAGAAGAAAAAAGAAAAAAATGCCAATAACATTATAATTAGTGGATTGCCGCTGTCGTCAACAACTGATGTAAACGTGAGTGACACTAAGGATCTAAGTCATTTAATGAAGATAGCAGAAAATATTGGTGCTCCAATTAGCAAAATAAAACAGATGAGACGACTGAAAAAAAAAAAAAAACAACAGAAAAACTACTAACATAGTCAACCAGACAAAAAAGTCAGTAACAGCAAAACCACCTTTTGTTGAACTTGTAGGCCAAGAATCTGCGCTAAAAGTTCTGAAAAGTTATAAAGTTAAAACTCTATTAATTATAGTAATCTTTATCTGAATATAGTCTTTTATTGATCCACTTTAAAAATCAAAAAAGTGGAAATATGCAAATGTAAAATTTATTGGAAAGAATGACTTGTGAAGCGTTAAAACTAACTTGCTGAAAATAATTACTTTTATTGATCCACTTCAATGATATGTAGTTTATAAATACTAAATATATTTTACAATTAGTTTTATTTATTTTTGTGGCTGATCATAAATGGGTTGGAAATAAGCTTTATGTGTCCTGATGTAATCTATGAAAAATCACATTATTATAAAAGCAGGGGGGGGATTTTTTTGCAACTAGACTACCATTAAACCAGTTTTTTTATCAATTACTCAACATTTCTCAGGTTATAGAAGTATGGCCACAACAGATGTTAAAAACGTCATAACCCTAATATATATATATATATATATATATATATATATATATATATATATATATATATATATATATATATATATATATATATATATATATATATATATATATATATATATATATATATATATATATATATATATATATATATATATAGCTCTCCTCTTACCAAAAAAAATATATATACAGGCCTTGCGATAAAGCGTCGGGCGATGTGAATTTTACGTCGTCCAAGAGCGATTTTGTGTGTAGCTAGGGTTATTTGCGTCGAGCAAAAAAATTTTTGTTTGAGTATATTTAAAGATATTTTTGAGCGGAATTTTAATGAAGTAATTTACGATTATTTTAACATTTAATAAAGTATTTTAAAAACCGCACGCAGTTGAAATAAAAGTTTGAATTTAAAAAAATTAAATATGCTCATTATTTACAAGTAGAAAAAATTCAAAAATTAAAAAAAAAGTTTAAATCTTTTAAGCTAACATTTAATTAAAATTATTCAGCAATAGCAAAGTTGTCGATAAAACTGAACAAAAATACTTTCTTTTAGTTTTAGATTTTAAACTTAAATAATTATTTTACGGGGGTTTGTTAGGTTTTAAAATTATTCCATAGATTTAAAAATATTTATTAACTGTTAGACGTATTAAAAGTATTTAAGAGTAATTTCGAGGAAACATTTTAAAAATTGGTGAGGGCAAATAAAAAAATAAAAAAGGATTAATATTAAAACATATTCTACCTAATTCAATAAAAAAGTACAGTTATTAAAATTTTTGTAAAAAGTAACTCAAACATATTACTTAAATAATAACGATCGCTTTTTTTTTTTTTAATTTTACTTCACCTCCTCAAGGCCGAGAAGGCCACTACAAACGAGGAGGCTACTTATTTTGTGGCTCCGAAACACGAACCTTGACGAACAAGGCCGCTGCGCGGAGAAACAAGTTGAGCGCGGTACTACCAGGGACGTGGTGGGGATCGAACTCGGAACCACTCGTTTATGAAGCGAGCGCTCTACCACTACACCACTACCGCATTTTATCTTAAAAGTTACCGAAACTTAACGAAGCGTGCTCAAGAACAGCTGCTGAAAAATAGAACGTCAATAGTTTTTCGAATAATTTTTAAGAATAATTTTTTCGCTGAAATATTTCTTTTATACCTATAAGATTTTTATTCTAACATTTTATTTTACTAGAAATAAAATTCCTTGTTAACATTAAAATTTATTCAAAACGTTCGCTTAAGTTTTTTATTAATACGAGTGATTGTGCTTATCAACCGCTTTTTGAAAATAAATAAAAATAAACAAATAAATATTATATAAAATCGCTTGTAAAAATATTAGCTATTGCACAGTTTTTAATCTTACAATATTAAAACTTCCAGTTTATTACACGCTGACTTTTTAAAAAGAAAAAATAATTATTTGAAAAACTTTAAATTACATATTTAAGAAAAAAAAAATCAAATATTAGCATATTTTATAATCTTTTTTAAATTTAAGTTATAATGTTTTTTATTCGTTTAGTATAGACAAAACGTGACAAACGTCGAGAAAATAAACAAATGTTTTTACATTTTAAAAAACAAAACATTCCAAAACATTCTTAAATAATAACATTTCCACATAAACGATTTAAAGTAGTTTTGCGGTAATTAAGTAAATTGGTGCAGTTAATGTTGATAAATATGAAAAGCAAATAAAAAGAATTTAATGACGTCAAAAATCACGTCGTGCTTATGCGTCGCGCAGTTCTTATTCATCGCAAGGCCTGTATATAGCTCTCCTCTTACCAAAAACATTTCTCCTCTTCTCCTCTTACCAAAAATATTTCTCCTAGCTCTCCTCTTCTCCTCTTACTAAAAACTATGATCTAGTTCAAGTTTACTTCAAAATAAAATAATGAAGTTAAATTGTTGATTAAACGGCTTCTTAAGGAAAAGTTAGGCATCAATACTTTCCTTGCTAAAAGATTTATAGATAAGAACTCACGAAGTAACACCATGTCAATAAAAAACACAGCTATGAATAGCATAAGGTGATTATATATATTATTTTTGTTTTTTTGAACAGTAAATGTTTGGATGATGAGCTAATAAAAATAAACATAAATTAGTTTTTTTTTATAGGTTTGGGATTTTACCTGCCGCAACTGCAGCAATTGCAACAAGTTATCTGTAAGATTAAATTGAAGCAGGATTTCTCACCCCTGAATCCTCTTACCTTACTTGTGATCTTTCAAAGTTGATGAGTTTGAGGAAAAAAGTCATAATCGATGCAAAGAAAACTGATAATTCAAAACTTCTAAATGCAGATAATATTGGTGTTTACTTTGATGGAAGGAAAGGTTCAGCAAGAGCAATGATTAATGATACAAACGCAAAGTTACATACTATTACTATCAAAGAGCAACACATTACCGTGACTTTAGAACCTGGTGGTCAATATCTTGGTCATTTTACCCCAGATGCACCTATTGATCCAGATAAGCCAGCTAAAAAGATTGCTGAAGGTGTTTATATTTTGCTAAAACAACATAAGCTGAATCATATTTAGTACTTAGAATAGATAGTACTTCAATTAAAATCTGCTGGAAAGGTAATGCTATAGTGCATCTTAAAAAGTTGTTTATTCACAAGTGCCATTGCATATGCATATAAGTGCCATGTGTATGTTTCATTCAAATGAGTTCTTTTTGCCTCACTTAATAAAATGAATTGATGGACCAACATGATGTAGTACTGGATTTGTAGGTCTTGTGGGGAAAATTTTTTTCTGTATTAATAAAATGGAGTAATCCGTTTTATTAACAGCAGATTAATCCTGAACACAAAGCTCTTACAGACCTCCATCTGTAAGAATTTTTTTAACATTCCAGAAACAATACTAAAAATTATATCAACAGATAAAAAAACAATTATACAAACTATGTAAAGCAATTAAGATGGGTGTTCTGCCATCTAAAAAAACTCAATGCGGCCCCTTAGGTCATGCAATGATGACTCACTACTGGGATGAGAATAGTCTTTATGTAGACAAATAACTGAGCAGAATTTGAAAAATCTAGAGTTATTTGTTTTATTCTGTTTCCAATTTTACTTTAAACTTTTTTTAACATAAAAAAAAGACAAACTTAAAGATGCTCCCTATCACATTCTTACTCAATTGAGAATTTTTAGTCAACCTGATAGATTAAAAGAAATTGAGACTTCCTACATCCAGTTAGAAGCTTGGTATGCAAACCATGAAAGTATTTTAATCTCTTTGTTATCCAGATGTTGTTTTTTTTGTATTAATATTCATAAATGCGTTTGAAAATCTTAGTTGAATGAAGATGAAGAAATTCAAATTAAGAATTTGGACAAAGATCCAGAAAGCATTGCTAATGATAGTGGGCAAATTAAAGTGAGTGATTGCATGCAAAAGTTTGCCTTATATGAAGAGGAGTACAAATAACACAGGTAGAAAAAACCTGTCATTTTTGACAGGGTAACATCTAATGCAGTGCATGCCATGAATAAAATTACCCAGTACTATTTTTCATGCTCATGAAGCTGAACCATGTTATTAATGATAGCAATTATGTGTGCTCGGCATATAGTCTTTGAGTGTGATTTACGGAGTTGGTTGCCATGGGGCCATTCATAAATTGCATACGCAGGTATGGGGAGGGGGTCACTCAAAGGCGTACCAGTGCATACAATGGAAAGAGTTGACGATTTTTTGTTTGAATTTTTTTCATGTAAAAT